CTTTGCTTGCTGACCAGCAGGCCTTCTCTCAGGTCCCTTGGGTCCGGATTATGTTCTGCTGCTGAGCTACAAAACATCTCTTCGCCACGGCCCCAAGAACAGCGCTTGTGTTGTCATAGTGCTTGTGATGTCACAGTGCTTGTGACGTCACAGTGCTTGTGATGTCACTGTGTTTGTGATGTCATAGTGCTTGTGATGTCACAGTGCTTGTGATGTCACAGTGCTTGTGATGTCACTGTGTTTGTGATGTCATAGTGCTTGTGATGTCACAGTGCTTTTGATGTCACTGTGTTTGTGATGTCACAGTGCTTGTGATGTCACAGTGCTTGTAATGTCACCATGCTTGTGATGTCACAGTGCTTGTGAAGTCATTGTGCTTGTGATGTCACCGTGCTTGTGATGTCTCTGTGCTTGTGGTGTCACCGTGCTTGTGATGTCACTGGACAGTCCATGTCCCCAGATGAGCACCCGGCTCTCAACCATGACTTCCTCAGGGTTTTGTTAAAAATATGCTGGAGACAGCACAGCCAGCGCTCCACGTTTCATTAAAGCACAGACTGCAGTGCACAAAGTCTTAGCTCTTGTTCCTTTGTCATGTCTGAGATGAAGGCTGGGGCCCTGCAGCAATTTTGCAGGGCTGTAGTGGCAATGCTCAGTCTCAGCTTGAAGGAGTGATTGAGCACCTGGTGAGAAGGCAGGGCCACGCCAGGGCAGCTCAGGCGCATGCAAACCCTTCCCAGACATCAGTGAAGGGTTGGCAGTGGAGGCAAGGGTGCCCGTCTGGAGATCCCTGCCTTCCTGAGGCCTCCCAAGGCTCAGCAGCTTTTTTCCTTTCTTTCTGTGTCCCCAGCTGCTGCACTTGGGCAAATCCTCACTTGCTGCAGGATTGCTGAGGATTTTGCCACCGGGGTTATTATCCCTGTGCTTTGCATCACACTGTAGCATTACACAGGGGAGTGATGACAATTCGTCATCCTCACCAAAACGTGTGACAGAATCTCTCAGAGAATCAGTTTCTCCTGGAAACAGCCATTTGGAAGGGCCTCGCTTGAGCGGGGAACTCCTCCCCAGCCTAGCTTTTCTGCTGAGACTCTTTCCAGCAACCACACAGCACCAAGCCCAGCTCACCTCTTTGTCCAGGTCAGTCTGGGCTGTGCCCAGGTCACACACACGCCACAACGGTGCTTCTGACGGGCTCTCCAAGGATGATCCCTTCCAAGGAACGCTCAGAGCTCAGTCTCTGTGTGCAGCACGCTCACCAAAGCACCAGCTCTGCTCACCAGCTGAGGGCCAAACCTCCCACCCCAGCAACGATTGCGACCTCAGCACGGTTCCACATCACTTCCGCACTTTCATTATAAACAAAGGAAGAGGACACCTCCTAGATCCAAATTCTAAGAGACCAACACCAGAGAGGGTCACCCAATGGGGTTATCCGAAGTAAGATAACAGAGTAATTAAGGGGACTCTTGTGCAGCCATCTCGGGTCACCCTCTCAGGCACCGCACGATTGGACCTGGGAGATGTTGCCTCCAGGCTGCCTCCAGCTTGGAGGCTGGAAGAATGTGAGCTTCAGAATTGGAGCTTCCAAACAATCAGCAAGCATTTGGATGAGCCAGCCCTCTGTTTTTTGCGAAGACAGACACATTCATAGCATGATAGCGGCCACTTCCAGCACGAGCTGCCCTGCAAGGCAGAGAAAGGAAACGTGAGATTAGCACAAAAACAGAGGCCTGAGGCTGTGTCACCACCACCTATTGCAGTCTTGGGAAGTCAGCTGCAACTACAGCCTTTGTCTGAATTAAAACAGGCACCTTAAATTAAGTGGGACCTCTGAGCCTAATGACTGTCACAATCAGAAATAGACACTGAAAAATCGCTCGCTGAACTGTAGGTGTTTACCTCTGAATTCTTTTCTTTTGGGAAAATACGGGCTTGGAATTGAAGGATCCAAGAAAAACGGTATCTACTTCACTGTAGGTGGTAAGGGTAGGAAGTCGGACTCTAACAAGAGAAGGTTTTCAGCTCCTTCTAAGGCACAAAGTGATGGAATCCTATGATTCTATGATATAAACAAACCAGGCTGCAGACAAAGCCCTACAGTAGAGAAAAAAAGGAACTCTAAAACCTACAACGCTTCTGATGTCAGAGAGAATAACAAGCTTGAAGTGGTTGTTAACAGACTCAAAGATGAGTCCTTTCTCGGTTTCCTTTATTGTTTTCCCCACCTATTCTGTCCTATTAAATGGCTTTATCTCTACACGTGCGTTTGGCCTTTCTCTGGTCTTTCTCCGCCATGGCTCTGTGACACAACAGCTGTGCAGCACTGGGCTGCCTGCTGGGTTAAACCACAGCAGTTCTTAGCCCTGGTCAGGTTCTGCAGCAGTAAAGAGGAGACACTTCTGCACTTTTCCCCCATCAGCAGAGGTCTGATGATCTTGGAGGTCTTTTCCAGCCTCATCAAATCCGTGATAAAGCCAGTGGGATATTTGACCTTGTTTTGGTGAAACTAATGCATCGGCCTGGTTCGATGGCGGTGAAGTGGGATGTCAGGTGTTCGTCCTCAGGGTGTTTGTCAGGGCTTCATGGAATTTGATCCTCCTCGTGCTTCATCCTTGAAAATGGTTGTTCACAGCACAGTGTGAACAGCGTGTGTGTGTGTGTGTGTGAGAAAGCGATGATGTGAATAAGGTGTGATTGTGAAGGGTGGGATATTTCTCTCTGCTAAGAGAGGTCAGAGACGTGATCAGATCTTTGAGTTGAATACCTGATAGCAACCCCATGCCTTCCATGTGGAACCTGCAGGCAACGGAGCTGCAAACCTGACATGAATACAGAGAAACAGAGCCATAGATAAAGCAAAATTGATGATTTTTTTTTAATCTTCAAACCTGTCTCCAAATTCCTCGGTGACACTTAGAGAAGCAGGAGGGATTTGGGCAGGAACACATGCATCCGAGCCCTTTGGCTGCAGGAGCAGTGAGATGGACTTTGTTCAGATGTTGTACTGAGGGACGTGGTTTGGTGGGGAAGTGTTGATGGGTGGACAGCTGGACTGGATGATACGGCAGATCTTTTCCAACCCGGGAGATTAGGCCGTCGTGAGCCACTCTTAAAAGCAACGTGTGTGGAACCCGAGGAAAATGGCCTTGCACGTTTTGAGGCAAAGGATAAAGGAATCCTATCGCCACTCCAGCACTTGTTGTGAGGCGAAATCGTTGAGGCAGAAGATGGCGCCACGGCAACAGCGCCCTCGTGAGGCGGCAGCGGGAAGGGCTCGCGCTCCGCACGCATGCGCCGTGGCCGCCGTGCGCGTGAACCGCCAACCGCCCCAATTCGAATTCGCATCCTCGTCGTCCAATCGCGGCCCGCGGGGCGGGAACGGCCCCACCTCCCGTCATCCTTCCGACCAATCAGACGGCGCGCCGTGTTTAAAAAGAAGTGCGCGCGGCCGGTAGGCGTCGCTCAGCGGATTGCGGTCCGCGGTGGAGGGGCGGAGCTGCAGCCGCCCCGTGGAGGCGCCGCTTGAGCTCGGCTGGGGCGGAGTCAGCGTCAGCCTCACGCTCCTTCCCTGACCCGCGCTGGGCGCCGAGGGGGCGCGGCCTCGTGCGGTTATCGCCGCCCCTCGGTCGGAGCCGGTCCGGGTGCGGCGGTCGCTGCGTGCGCTCGGTCCGCGAGGAGCGCCGCGATGAAGGCAGGCGGTGAGTGCGGGCCGCGCGGCTCTCCTGCCTTCTTTCCCTTGCTTTCCCCCTCGGCTCCGCGCGGGTCCTTCTGAGAGCGCTCCGCGGGCGGCCCGGGAGGCTGCGGGGCAGCGGCGGGGCGGGCAGCTCGGATGGCGGCGGGGGGGGGGGGGGGCGGAGCGGGGCGGCGGTTCGCCCCGAGCAGCGGAGGGCGGAGATGCGGCTGTGCCGCTCCGTGCCGGCCGCCGCCGCTCCCTGCGGGGCCGTGAGCCTTGCCGGGCGATGGGCGAGAGGCGTTGAGCGCCTCCGCCGGAAGGTCGCCCCGAGGAGCGGCGGCTGCCGACTCCCTCCGTGCCCGGTTCGGCTCGTCGTTTGGCTTCCCGATGTTCGTTTGCTGAATCGCGGCGGGGTTTGGGGCTCCCGATTGCAGGCGGAGCTCGGGCGGCCGCAGCCCTGTGCCGGCCCAACGGATGGATGGATGGACGGGCTTCGGGCTTTCCGCCTTCTGCCGGCGTTACTCGTGTGCTCTTCCCGGCTTTGCCTGGTCTCAGGGCAAGTTTGCCTCTCCTGGCCGATGTGTCGAGGGCAAACTCGCAGCCAGGAGCGATGATACAGGCGGCCCCCCGGTCTGTGAGCGCTGCCAGGTGGAGGAGCTGGCTCTGAGGGCTCTGCAGAGAGATGGGCTTTGGACTCGGGTGCTTAGCGGGCCTTACCTTCCTAATCCCTCCAGTCGCGGTTCAAGGACTGTTATCTATTGATAAGGAGGAGTTGGAGCATGGGGGAGGTAAGTGCAGTTGCAGCAGTGACAGTTGAACAAAACGCAGCCAAATGATGGGGTCAGAGCAGGGCTGTGCTGTGATGGCTGTATGCTGTCCCTTCTGGGCACCTCGCCTCAACTGGCTGAACTGAACGAGTCGCTTCTTCATGGTTTGGTCTTACAGCGTTCTGTGCTGAGTTGCTGTGGTTGCTGTGCTTGAAGAACTGTCCTACATGACGAAATATATCTTCTGTATGCACCTTTTTTCCCTTACTGTTCTGTCACTAACCGAGGTGTTGTTTTTCTTTTCCAGTGGTTCACTGCCGCTGTTCCAGATGTTTCTCTTTCCCTGCCAAGCGAAGGATAAGGAAACGGCCCCAAGTCCTGACGCTGTTGAGTCTACCTGAGGATGTTCTGCTCCATGTTCTGAAAGGCCTTCCTGCTGAGGACATCCTCTCGCTCAGAGCGGTGAGTGCCGGCCCCTCCTGCAGTGCACAGCCTTATTTCTGCCTACATCCGAGGAGATGTGAGGAGAGCCACAAAGTCCATGTAGTAGATAGACATCTGCTGTGCTAACAATCAGATTTCTCACTACTCTAACCTCAAAGACTCACAGCAGTGTTTGTGTGTTTTGTGCGAAGTTTCTCTGGGAATTGTCCTTCCAGCTCACTGTGACTGGAGAAGTGAATTTGGTTTGGCATCTCTTGCTGTAGTGATGGTTAAGACAGGGAAAGAGCTCTGATTAATTAGTTACCTATCTAAAATTAGATGAACTATTTTTCTGTTGGTTCCTTTATTTTAACAATTATTTGATGTTCCCCCTCCCACCTTGCAGGTGCACTCCCATCTTAAATACCTCGTAGATGATCACGCCAGTGTTTGGGCATGTGCAAGTTTTGAAGATGTATGGCCTTCTCCAAAAACTCTGAAGGTGTTTGAAAGGTAAGCTTCAAAGGAATGCTGATGCTTAAAGTTGTAGAGGAGGGCATTTCATGCTATATGTACAATTTCTATCAGTCTTCTCTGTAAGTGGCAAATCTGACTGTCCTTATTTGTAGAAGTCTGCACAGAGTGATGAGGGTAGCTGACTTTGACTGAGCTGCAAATAATAGCTGCTGTTTTGTTAATTGGAGCAGGACCTACAGCATACATGGAAGTTATTACTGTAAGGGCATTACCGGTCCTGCTTTGAACGTAACACGTGAACTGAAATCTGTTACTGGTGCTTCCATATGAACAAGCAAGATTGAGATCAAAGACCACAGTTCTAAGTCTCGGTTGTTTTGCTCAAACCAGTATAGTAAAAAAGAGAGTAAATTTCAGTATTAAAGCATGTGCAGAAGGAGAATGCCTTTCTATCCATCTGATATGAAGGAGATAGGTTGACTTAAATGTCATGCTAATTGTTCTGCTTCTAACTATTGTGCCTGCTCTGATGCATGTATTATCTGCTTTCTGAAGAAAGCTATTGTCTGAAAATAGATCTGTGAGGGAGGAGCACAGGGCCTTGAGGCATGTCCTTAAGGGTGCAAGTACCTAAACCTGCTTTCTTGTGTTGGGTATGTTGCGTGGGACTGGGAAATGATTCCTGTGAGCTGTCAGATTGTCCTGGGCACAGATGTATGAAAGTATTGCAGCAAGAAAAGCCACATCATAACTCACTTGTAACTTCTGTAGTGAAATCAGGTGTGCTTGTGATCAGCGAACAACAAATTGGGGCCAGGCCTTCACTGCAGTAACTTGTCTGATGTGGAAGCACCTATTGATTTCAACCTGAAGTATCTTCTCTGTTCCCCTTCAGGGCTGCTGAAAGAGGCAACTTTGAAGCTGCTGTGAAGCTGGGGATAGCGTACCTGTACAATGAAGGCTGTAAGTGTGCAAGCTTTATTGGGTCCCTGAGGAAAATGGCACAGTTGAAGGATACACAGATGATCTGATGGCTTACTTATAGATGCAGATCAGACTAATTGTTTCATAGTTTTTGCTGGTTACCTACAAAGCTATTTCTTTAGAATACTGATGGTTTTGTGCTCAGATTCTAGAGCAGCGATGTGCAGAAGTAGTCTGCTCTCCTGGGTGTGTGGCTAGGTTTCATTTGCTGTCATGCCTTTTCAGCCTTGTCTTTCAGTGTAACTTAAGAACTGGGCAGCAGATAGCTGGGTTCAGTGATAGAAGCCCTGTGTGCCGTGCTAAAACTCCCAGGTGTGCCCATGCATAGCTTTTCAATTTCCAGTGGGATGTAATCTTTTGTAAACTTCCAATTGAACTCTGCTACGTCCCTGGTGTGCTGGATGAATCAGAAGGGACTGATAGTTGACAGGAGGAGCCTCCTTGCTGAAGGTGGCTTGCCTTCCACTTTGTGCAGTGCCAGGAGTTAGCAAATTAACACTGCTTTGAGCATTGGTATTTGTAGAACTTCTCCCAGGCTTAGGATCTTATGTCCCCACAGACTAATTGTAGTAAGATTTTTTTTTTTTCTCCTTTTGCCAGCTCCATGATTTTTAAAGCTTTATGAAGTTCAGGTCTTTTCTTGGGGTTACACTGTTCTCCCTTGGCTGCCAAGACCCTGTTGTGGATAAACTCTAACCTATTTCTGACTTTTTTTGTGCAGTGTCCATCTCTGATGAAGGCCGTGCAGAAGTGAATGGATTAAAGGCATCTCATTTCTTCAGTCTGGCAGAGCGGCTGAATGTGTGTGCAGCCCCATTCATCTGGCTTTTTATTCGTCCTCCCTGGTCCTTGACTGGAAGCTGTTGTAAAGCTGTGGTCTACGAGAGTCTTAAAGCAGAGTGTCAGTTGGACAAAGTAAGATTGCTTTCTGCTTTAGACTTTAAGATATGTTGGGAACTGCACTGAGCCCCTTTAGAAAAATGATTTTTCTTCCCCAAGGAGCTCCTGTTCTCCCACTGTTTAAATAACTGTGGATCAATCGTTTTATGAATTTGCTGCCAGACTATAGTGTCATGATTAACAGAGGCATGTGCTGTCTGTTCTGAAGCATTCAGTACTATCCCAAAGATGACAAGAGAAAAGTAGAGGGGGGGAGAACGGGAGGCCAACCTGGTTTTAGTCTGGAATACCTAGCAAAAATTGCTGTTGTTCTTTGTCTTCATTAATACTTTGTCTTGATGCTTTTTTCAGGCTCAGAAAGGATCTATTCTGTACTGCTTGGCTAAGGTCTTGAGTCTCTTTGAGGTGAGCAGTGTTTCTGATTTGTGTGTTCGGGGATTTTGAAAATGACTTCTTTGCTAATGTGATTTACCTTGATTTTAAAACTATAATCCAAATGGTTTTTTTTTTTTCCTCAAGTGGCCTGAGGTATTTCTGCTCTCATGCGTTTTACTTACTGGTTGTTTTAAGGAATGTGATCAACTTATTCAATTTTAGAAACAGTAACATTAATTTTGGCTTGATCATGGGTTTGCTGTGTGGTCAGGTTTTTAAAAAAAAAAAAAGCCTTTCCTTCATAATATGAACCAAAAAGCAACCAAATGCAAATGGCCTTCAGCAGAATGCAGGTTAGAAAGCTTTCCTATAGCTGAGGGAAACCTCCGTCTCCAGCCAGAATCTTTAAATGCTGAGTGGGTGTTGGAGCAGCCCTTGCAGTCTGGGGGGGCTCACAACTTTTGCAATTTATGGTACAGAGTTTTCTGTAGTTTCTGAAGCATTAAGTTTGGCTGGACAGCGTAAATACCATCATGCCTTTTGTCCTTAGGATGAAGAAAAAAGAAAAGAGTCTCTTGAAATGTTTGAGGAGTCTTCAAAGCAGGGTTGTTTAAATAGCTCCTACCTCCTTTGGGAAAATAACAGGAAGGTCGCTGTAAGTAACTTTCCTTTTTTCTTCTCTCAAAGCATTTTCATTATGTCTGGACCTTTCATCATATTCAAGAAGCATACTTGATTCATCTTCCTCAGATCTTACCTTCTTCATAATGAAAAGAGCACTAAAAACACTCAGAAATGAGCTTTTGGTGTTTAAAGCAAGCAAGTCTACATGCCTTTGTAGCAGAGCTGTGAGCCATGACTCTACTAAAGGCATAGGCACTGCTGGTCAGGCTGCTCACTTGTGTGCAGGGAGGCTGCCTGCCTTGTCACTAATAATTTAGTAAAGCTTATACTGGAATCCTGAGTGACCCATCTCATTTCTTGTAAGATCTTGGGCAAGAACTGAAGAAAGTGTCTTAAAAACAATATTGTTGCTCTGATGAGAGAGAAACAGACTGGTTGCTGGAATAGTAGATGTACCTACAGGCTGTTTTTTCTCTGGATGTTAGTACTACAATCCTTCTATTTAAGTAAAGGTGATGGTATTTGAAATCTGTCCATATTCTTCTCTGTAGATGTTAGACCCTGGCAGATACCTCCAAAGTCTCAGGAAGCTACGGGACTATGCAGCAAAAGGATGCTGGGATGCACAGGTATGTCTTTCTGGTTGTTGCTTTTTTTTTTTCTGGGGAATTTATTTGTTTTTTTCTATGCTGTCACAGTAGACTTAAGCTTCTCCTTTCAGAAACATGGTCAAAATTGTTGTGATATCTTTGTGTGCATATCTATCTTCACAAATCACTCTTCTGAAAAATGCTGTACTTCTTTGGTGTGATCCAAGGATTGAACTAGTGACAGATATAAAAGCCTGTCCCTGAATAACATGTGCAGTGTTCAGCATTCAAGCTAGACTAAGAAGCAATTCTGCTAGCAGTTCTTTCAAGTATTTTTTTTTTGTTCACTGTTTCCACCAGAAAAATTACAGGACCATTCTCTACTGTTTTAGTTTGCATTTGATAAAAGTCCTTTTTTGTGCATATGCTTTTCTCTCTACTACAGATCGCTTTAGCCAAAGCTTGTGGAAATGGAAACCAACTAGGATTAGAAGCAAAATCTTCCAGTGAAATGGTGGCTCAGATGTTTCAAGCCTCCCGTCCTATCAGCAAGCAAAATATCTTCACTGTGCAGAAAAAAATAAATGAAACAATGAGGTAAAAACTCAGATCCAGAAGTGAGGCCACACAGCAGAAACCACTGCTTATTTCTATTTGCATCAGTGAAGGGGGAAACATATCTAGAATGAGGCCTGTTGAAAGAAACTCTTTAGTTTTACCCCTCTGCAGTGTGCAATCAGACAGGGATGACATTTTGCAAAGGGTCAGAAACCTCATTTCATGCCCAAGTAAAGAAGTAAACTGAGGGATGGGAGGTTGTGGGGTTTTTTCTTTTCTGGACTGTAAATACTTTGTATTTGTCAAGACTGACAGTTTCCCACAGATTAGAGGCACTACTTGACTTTCTGGTGTTGTAGTTGCTTTCCAGTTTTCTTAGACTCCTAATTGATACACCTTACCTCATTTCTTGTGTGAGTGCGCATTACTTTTGAAGTGAAATCAGAAGCTAACTTACAACTTGAGATGACCATTGACCCTTCAGATATAACAGGCCTGTAGCTACAAATCCTTATCTTGGTGCCACATGTTTTTCTGAAAACATCACCTGCTTGTGTTGAATTTCCTAGTTTAGAACTTTTGAGTGGAGAGAGGATTCAGATGACCAGGCACAGGGAAGGTGTTTGCACTAGTTTGGATGGCTTTTAACTGGACAGGTTATGTTTCTGTTTGCCATCTAGGTACATCCTGGTTGACTGGCTGGTGGAAGTGGCTACCATGAAAGACTTTTCTTGCCTATGCCTTCACATGACAGTGGGGTGTGTGGACCGTTACTTGAAGCTGAGACCTGTGCCCCGGTATCAACTCCAGCTCCTGGGGATAGCCTGCATGGTCATTTGCACACGGTAGGAGTTCTGACTGTTGATGGGAGGTGGTTATTGGGATTGTTCAAACTCATTTGTGCAGCTCAAGCTTCTTTTATCCCAGTACTGGAAAGAACCCTCTACGCTAACTGCTGCTTGAAGTGTTTTCACATACAAACACTTCCAGGCACTGCAAATTGACATAATATTCCTCAAACATGTTTTTAATACAGAAATAACTCCACAGTAGCAGATCAGTTTAAGCATTTCACTGAAAACTGAAGTCTTTCATATTCATATTAGCACGAGTATTCCTGTATAAGGAACAGCAGTATTGTTCCCTAGTTTCATCTGTTATGTTCAGATGAGCATTGTGGTGTCTCTGTTAGTTACCTCAATGTCTTGCATCTTAACTAAGGGAGGTTCCATAAATGAAGAATTAGGAATGTTTTAGTTGATAGTTCCAGCTTAAAGGTAAAATAAACAAGGAGCTGCTGTTCCCTCTTTCACAGCTTGTACCTGACTTAAGTACATTACAAAGTTTAACCCCTTGGTTATCTTGGATACACTTACTGGCCACAGAAAATAATGCATAGGTACACAAATTGACTTTATTCTGGGGCTAACTGTTAATTATACTTGATATTGCAGTTTTATCAGCAAAGAGATCTTGACAATACGGGAGGCTGTATGGCTAACAGACAACACATACAAATATGAAGATCTGGTCAGAATGATGGGTGAGATCATCTCTGCCCTAGAAGGAAAGATAAGGGTGAGTTTGGAAAGTGGATGGACAGTTTTATCCCTGGGGCTGCTGTTGAAGTGGATCTCTTTTATAAAAAGAGCAAAGATGCTATTATAAGCGTTTCCTGTGGAGACTGCACATTTAAGAAAATGCAGACACCAAACCATCTGCCTTTCTGTAGGGATTAAAATTGGAGTTTCTTAGGGCACATTCAGAGATTGTTTATTGTTTCACTGGGGAGTATTTCAGTGTTAGCATAGCATTTAAAATAATACTTGATCATGAAAGCAATGTCTTGTGAGAACAACTGTGGTCTAAATAGTTGGTGCTTGAGTTGTATTGCCAACCTCTGTTCTCCTTTGTGTATTAGATACCTACTATTGTGGACTACAAAGAAGTACTGTCAAACATAGACTCCCTGGAGAGAAGAACTCTTCACCTTTACAGCTTCATTTGTGAACTGTCTCTCCTAAACACGAGCCTTT